TGCTGGAGACATTCGCTCGAGCTGAAATTTTACATGTGATCAGATATTATGTCAAAATTTTGTTTTAGAAAATTTAAGCAGTTATTATTATGTAAAGTTGCAGGATATAACCGTTCGGATACTTATGACCGCTACTGTATAGGAAATGTTGATGACAGAGATATCTGCTGGCACTCGACGGGGAAGACTTTAGCATCGCCCATTGCTCCCCGATTCATCCACCAGCCTTAGACGCGTGCCATTGAATATCATTTTACCATTCACATTCCTATCAAACGTGGCAAATAATGAATATCAATATGAACACCTAGTAGACTCCACGATATTAATGTGGACTTAGGGTAATGGATTCTCGCCTCCGATTTCCTAATTAGTATTAGTCACCCAAGTAATAAGTGATTCGAATTTCAGAATACTTACCATTTCGCCTCACTGTTAGCGCTGGACGTTAACTCGGCACTTATTGTTATCACATATCCAACTCAGTTCAGATTATGCTGGTAAGAAGATATCTTCGATCTCTCGTTATTTATCATGTCACACTTGCACACTGACCACCAAGAATGACGCCTTGGTCTCTTAGCCGTTCTTTTGTTAAGGATAGATGGTAACAAGACAATTAAGGTAAAGTGTTCGATCGATTGTAAGGTCATTTGATCAACGTGTTAAAGAGTCTTATATTGTATTAGATTTCCGAATGCCTAAATTTCGTGTGCCTCACTATCAGACGGGCGTTAGTTCTGTAACTTTTCGTTCGCCAATGGTAAGGATTAGCTGTCTTGGTCGCTGGATATTCATGTGTTGTTTGCTATCTGGTGGATATAGACCTCGTCAACCAACTCTAAACTCGCTCGAAAACTTGTCATTAGCAGACTTTGCAATGAAATGCCGTCTGATACTAGTCAGGCAAGTACAATAAGTCGATCGCAATAGGCAATTACGTCCAGAGCAAGCCTAGACAGAAAATTTGAACGGCAAATTGCAAGAAATCATCAATGCTGGGAGAGCCCTGGAAAACGAATAAAACCGCCAAATTCGAGGATGATTCTTTTTACCTCTCAAATCTCAGCTACAATGTCAACGGTGCTCGTTGCAGATAATGAAAGATTATTGCGATATTTGCCATTACTATATAGGTATATAGAATTTTGTAATCACCGTATTAATATCAACTTTTTACTAATTATACGCTAACCATACTAACACCTATCTGGCTATTACGTCTAGGAACTGGCTAATTTTCGCTATTTGTATTCCTGTACATGTTGCCTCATATAGCCCAGATATTAACATTAATCTGGCGCATGCGTGCGTTTTGGCTCGATTATACTGTATGTAAGAAGTATTGTAAACATGCCGTAAAAGAGTATGATGAAATTATTCAGGTTTGCGTCTACGAATATCTTGTCTATATCACACATAGGCTGTTTATTGCGTATTTGCTTGGGTCCTTCCTTACAAATGTGAGCGAATGTTCTATAGAATTAATATATGTTGTTTTATTTTTTCGTCTCCTCTTCATAGAGCATTCACAGAACATGATCCGATACTAAGACAATCTGTACCATTCGACTTCGACGTGAAAGCGTATAGGAAGAACCGATTTCATTACAAGTAATAATTTGATTACTCGTAGTTTATATAATACTTATCATTATACTTACAGTATTACATTCTATTTGTTTCAGTCCTTGCTGATTAGGTTATAAACAAGGCTATGACGATGGCAGTTATCAAAATTCCTCGGCCGTCTTTCTCGTATTCCAATCGCCCCAAAACTATCGCCTTCAAAAAGGTGTATACATGAATGTTACAATTCACGCTTCATTGGATATGCAAACTCACATGGTCGTTCGACGATCTACGCAGCATGTCCTCATCAGATATTATCTCGCTATCACATTGATGGCGATACTCGTGCGGTATTGGATAGAATCTAAAATGGCACGTTCGATATCAGAACAGGTGTCTTTACTCTATTGCTGAATTAAATGGTATGTATATCTATTATTGTCTGTTGCCAAAAGTAGTATATCTTGATTAAATGGAAATAGAGATCAATGGAAATGGTGCAGAGTCATGGAATGTTCTGGGAGCATCCATTCTAGTTATAATTTCAACAAACAATAATATTCCGTTTTATATTGAATGTTCTATTGTAATTCTTTTATCCAGAACACACTTAAATACACGAGTTCCCCCGACGAGCGACATACCACACTAACGGACAGCATATAATACATATCCCACAACATCCTATATGACATTCCATACGACATACCACTACAACATATCCGAAACGGTTACCTGCTGCCCAACGATGGCATGCGGGTGATTGTTATAAGTTTGGATATGGCGTGAGAGAGGCAATCAGACTCTATCGAAGAGCTGCCCAACAAGGATATCCTATGTCCTTTGCCGCTTGAGTGACTGTTACAAGAGTGGAGATGGTGTAAGCAGAGATGATGAGGAAGTGATCAGTTTCTACCAAACAGGGTCACACCGAGGCACAGCATAGACTTTGTGCATTTTACGGTAGTGGAACTTTACCGTAAAGCAGCAGACTAGGGGTGTCCCATTGTACAATACTCGGTTGGACTACATTACCTGTTACAAGGACGAGCAGAAAGCAACGCAACAGTTGCGATTGGCCGCTCGACAAGGACTTGCTGAAGCGCAGCATCATCTTGGTATGGGTTACCTAGTCGACATTCCGGGGAAAGACGAGCGAAAGCGATCAAACTAATTAGAAAAGCTGCAAGACAAGGATATGCCCCTGCAATATTTTCTCTTGGTTTATGTTACAGTGAAGGCATTGGCGTTAGACGAGACCCCCGACTAGCCGTAAAAAACTGTATCATACAGCTGCTAGAAGTGGGGTGGTGGGGGCATCTATATATGTTATCGTAATGAGTTTGAAATAGAGCCAAACATGCAAACAGCCCTCGAGTTATATATCACGTTGCGGCCTCTCAAGGACACAATACGATCTTGATCAATGCTATGAAAATGGAATTGGGATGGAGAGAGATGAACAAAAGGCGATGGATTTGTATGAATCAGCAGCAGAGCTAGGAGTTGCAAACGCGCAATTTGCTAGTCCTATGTAAATCGACCTGAATTAAATCGACCAGAAGTGTGCAACGTTGGTTTGTATTAAGAGGTACGTGGTAAGTGATTTTATAGATATGTCAACGAATAAGAATTTGGTGCGATTGGTCAAATATTAGTCCCAGCGAAGCAATATTCTATTAAATGTAGAAATAGTAGAGAAGTTTGATGCATAAAACCATCATGTAGTATTTTGAGAATAAAGAAGACTTGTGGTTGAGATCAAGCTTCGTGTATCTCCCATCGTTTTCCTAAGTCATTTCTCAAATAGACACCGAATAGTATGCTTGAACTTATAGCTTCGAGTTTATATCTCAGAGGACTTTGGGCTAGTGGAATAAAAAAAAACCAAAACATACTAGTTATCCAACTCTCTCGCGAAACATATAAAACTTATTATTTGTGGTTTAACATTCTATTGATGTTGCTATGATCATCGTATACAAAAATTTACCAAATGGCACAATGATATATATTCAATTGTCAGTTGGTTTAATGAGAAGAAAGCTTTCGCGTTTCCGATCTTCATTCTCTAATTGCCTCTTCTTGCGTTATCCTAATCTTAACTTCTGCCTGCCTGTTACACGAGATGTCAGAAATCCGTGGTTCTTCCACACGAGAATTGGAATATCAAGCGTAAGTAAATGCCAACGTATTTATTCGCATTCGCACCATTATAATAGTAATTATCTATGAATCATGACACCTCCGCTCTTTTCTCTTGATTGGACGTGATACGTAGGAATGGTCTGCTCTTGGTCGTGTTATTGGTGGTATGGTTTGGTGCCGTGATATGACAGTTAGAATAATGATTAGTCACCACGCCCTACAGTCTTTCCTTGTAGCACTGAAGATAACGCATTGCAGCTGTTGAACAAGAAAGCGTTAATTGTCCGCTAAGGACACCATTTATTGGTAGAGGGATGATAATGCTACCAAGATGAAGGCATGGATTAGTTTTCTATAAAAGGAAATTGGCGGAAACGTATAAATTCACCGTCTCCGACATCATGCAACTTTCGGTTGCAACACCTTCCTACCGCAGTAATGCCCTCGCGGCAAGTCACATAGAGCTAAAAATCTCTCTCCTTCTCCCGCAACCCTCTCCCTCTCTCCTTCTCTCCCGCAACCCTCTCCCTCTCTCCTTCTTTCCCGCAACCCTCTCCCTTTCTCCTTCTCTCCCGCAACCCTCCACTCCCTTGGCTGAGTTGAGAGATTATTCCCTGGATACTAATACGGTCAGTTATGGAGACACATTTACCGGGACAGCATATCTTATTTATAGGTAATTTCGTGTTCATCAAATACGTATTAGTATGTTTGATTGATTTGAGTAATAATGATACGAACACCAATGATACGAATACTAATATCAAAATATTTAATTTATTCTGTCACTTGTTAATGAAGACTTCCCTAGCAACAGAGTTTCGTAAACAGCATCCACGTCCTCTGGACCCAGAAACAACCAGCAAAATGTCTCAAGAGAACACGGAAGTCGAGATTTCCTATCGGCCAATCTTTGGAAATGGGTAGATTCCTTCAAAGGAATGACGTAGAGTTTAGGCCAAGGTAGTTTTAATTTCGATTTACTAAAGGGAACGGAAATAGGATGTACAAGTTCCATCTGGAAACCTATTTCGAAGACGTACAGAACTCGATGCACAGAAAATCCAATCTCGCGCGGTAACTACAATACGAACCAAATATCCGCCAAAACTATCAATTTACAACGGCCCTCCGGATGGGAAAGCCTAACGACGAAGAGATGCAACAGCCGACAATGCCTTCATATCCAAACGCGATAGGTAAAGCGTACGCGTACAGGGTTACATTCATTCTTGACCCGTCTGAAGGAGTCGACAGGCTTAAACACATGTTGTTAAAAGCTGCTGGTCACAATCTTGTATCAAGGCAAACCAATACGGAGTTGGAATAGACGTGAATAACGGCGCCTACAATAAGGCAGCGCAACAAGGCCATTCAAAGCCAATATTGTCTATTTAGGAAAAATCATAGACGAAGAAGCCAACTATCAAAAGGCTTGAAAAATCTGCCGATCAGGGTTACGCGCGGTCTCGCACAATATACGCTTGTACATGCTATGAAAAGGTTGACGAAGAATATGCAAAAGCGTTGACAGCATACCGAAAAGGATATTCCGCTGTAATGTATCGTCTTGCTATATGTTACAAATGTAGAGTGTATGACGAGTTGAATAAGAAATACGATAAAAAAATTGTTGTATTTAATTTTTGCCATATCAATGGTGATTTCACCATATTTAACAAAGTGACAGAGTTCAAATATTAAAGTCAAAATTTAACGTTAAACTTATAAAGTTTATGATATGTTCATTGACGGAAACAACGAGCGCTTCTGATTAATAAAATTAGCGATCATTAATACTTGCTACTTATGTCAACCACAAATACACAAATCTTACTCACCAACTATTTCTAGCAAGGTACTTTAGATCAATCATACAACCTGCCCACATACCAGGCAGATAGCCATTTCCACAATAAGCCGTCTTTGTGGATCGTCCAATGCTAATTGCATCCTTAGTATCGTAGGGTCCAGCATCAAAACACGAACGCTTGATTCATGAACGTCAGTTTCAGTTAAAAAGATGGTTGCTGGTGTTATCCTTGATGAATCTAATGATGAAAATTCAAGGACAAAGACATTCGTTCAAATTTCCTTGCTCCCATGCGGACGAGGTAACTCTTTCTCATTAAACGTCCCTGGCCGGTGTAATCCAATACTATTTTTTCTTCGGTCCTTTATTTAGGGAACGTAATAATAACCCTAAACCTGTGTTGACATTTTTAGAGGTTAAATGAGTTGTTCTTTGGGAAACCGTTGGATTATATCTGACGCTTTTAAGGATTTTTACGTTCGGGCTATTATTGAATTCAATAAAATTGGCAGAATTTAATACTCGAGCTTCAATTAAATGCTGGTATGAAATGAAATTCAACAATAACGAGATTGGTTCTGGGAGACTATTATTCGTTTGTTCATCTACAACATAGTGTTTAAATTCAATAACAATCTTATTGGTTGTATAATAGAGGACGTGTTTCGAGTAGTGCGACGTCGTGCTGGCGATACGTAAGCTTGGTCTGAGGAAAGCGGACTGAGTTTGTAGGTTTTGTGGGCTTTGGTTGGAGTGCACGCTTTGATTGTGCAGTGGATTGTCTAACAGGCTGTCCACGTCTCCCGACTCGCCTTAAATTTTAAATGTGGCTTGTGTGGCTTACATTTTACTCTCTCCTTGTTGGATTGATTGCAATTGCATGTATCATTCACGCCAAAATAAAACCGAGTTAATGAATTCTCATCGTCTTCGAGGATGTATAAGACCGGACCGTCTCAAGAATAGAAACTTGCACGCGACGAAATCACGTTCACTTGGAAAAATAGTAGAGTAGTGACTTTAATGCCGTCACTTTCAAATTCCTAGTTTCCCGCAACAGAAAGAGAAAGTACTATCGACTGCAAGCGAAATAGGATTTACCGCATTCAAAAAGGCTAGTGTTTTTTATCGGACATCAAAGGAAAAAGCTAACAAGCTATATAAGGGTGTCAACAGGAGGCACTGGTTAAGCGACAATGCAGCGAGGATGAGAAACCTTTGTCACGAAGATTGTACGTACATTTTGTTTATTAATTAATAAAAGTTATGAAACCAAAAAATATATATATAATGTATAAAATGTTCGCTTTGATTGTCTATATTTATATTAATATGAATTACTAAATTCCAACAAACTATTATCATAATCATCTAATATAATTATATCGTCCATAGTATCTGTCGTATCGATCATATTCATATAATCATAGCTATCCATAGGAGTCATATCGAACATATTCATATAATAATCATAGTTGTTCAATGAACCAATTTCTGTCGTATTCATATAATCATAGTTGTTCGATGAACCAATTTCTGTCGTATTCATGTTATTATCCAGATTGGTTATTTCTGTGGTATCATCCATAGTTACATCTGTTGTGCTGGGTATGATTTCGTACATGTTTTCATTACACAAAACGTCATCATATGAATCAAAGTTGACTGTCTGTGCGGGGTACGCAAATAGTGGGTCATACCCTGCATGCACACTTAATGTCGAGTCTAACGGAGGGGCATTGTCGTATGTTGTACATTCGTACAAAGGCGGGTGGTCCTGGGTAGGAATGCCGGTGTTAATATGACTAGCTGCGCCTGTGGATGAATCGGTAACTTCGTTATTAACTCCATCGCTGCCACATGCATCCGGATGATCGTGATCACCAGCACTCAACGTAACCTCCCCGAAAGTGGTTGAACGAGAATCCTCATTCGTAGTCTTATGTGAATCATTAGTCGAAGCGGAACTAATAATTGCATGTCTATTATACGTGCGTTTTCGAGAATTACCTCGCCCTTTATTCTTTTTTGCTGAACTTTTGCAAGGACAATATTCATGCTCATAAATAACTTTTATAATTCTACTCAGCTCCAAAAAAATCTCCTTTACTTTAGGGTCCTCATTCTTCCATCGCATGCTCGCAATGTTTGAGGTCAAAACGATCAACGATTTTGTTGATCCCATTGCGTTTATCTGCTCGGAGACAAGCCTTGCTTGTATCTCCTTTCTATACAAAATAAATGCGTTCGGGGGTTGACGAACGCATTTCTTTTTGCTCCCGCGTAAAAGGTCCTCTAACGGGAGGACAGGTTGAAGATCAGCATACCTTTTTTTTATATCAGTGGTGTCTTTGTCTATAAAAGAACGCAATAACTCAATATCTATGCACATTTTATATTAAATCGAGTGGATTAGATGTTTGGCCACAAGAAGGGCATATCACTCATTTATAGTTTTTTGAATGCCAAGTCTTCACATGAGTTTCACTGTGTGTAGTGGAGCTCCTCGTTTCATGATTTATCAATTCGATATGATGATTCGGGGCAAAGAGCAATGGTAACGTGGAAATTTCCGAGTTAAAATCAATTAGTACACATTACGGAGCATTCTGATCACTAAAAGCATCCATTCGGACATTAAGGACTAGCTGCGCACATATGTGATAATATTGGTATATAATGCCAACATCCTGTTTCAGTGTACGTTTATTTATATTTAGATACCCACGAGGAGTCTTGCTATTATACTTTGCATGCTAAATATATCGTCCGAATGAAAGGAAGAAACAATTACGGGGCATTATTCGCTGATTTTGTCAACAGACAAATTCCATTCGGCTGTGTACTACATGATCGTAGTGGCGTTGCTGTGGCTCAGATCCATTACCATGGTTTTATACATTGTGAATGGTTTTGAAACGTATCATGCTCCTGTTCATAGCATTATGCCTGTTTAGAGTAGCTTTTCCATGATCCACTCACAGGTCCGATAATAAGCACTTGTTGGCTAGAAGATGTTAATGTTTGATGAAACAGATCTACACATAAATGGTAAGACCGATAGTGACACACAATACTATTTCTGTTAAAACAATAAGAAATGCAAGACTTGTTGACATAATCTTTGAAACGTCTATGACAGTAATAGTAATGGTTTAGTGCTGAGTTTTAATGTCAAAGTGTAGTCGCACCTGTCTATTTGCATAATAATATTGTTGAAATGATGGATTCTTATGGAATATGTTATGGATTAATCACGTGATGCAGACATTAATGCGGGAACAAGTTATTCTGTTGTTTGAAGGATTAAAAGCTCTACAAATATCTATACCATTTTTGTTGCAACAACTAGAGACTGTTCTGATGAAGTTAAAAAGTGATCTTTGTATGCATATGCACGTTTACTAAATTAACAGATTATGCATGCAATAGACTGTAGATTGTTGGCATCTTTGATAGTATTACACGATTATGTGAGTCTGCAAATTGAGGAACTCGTTCTCTTCTGTCCGGTAATGAAACAAAACGAGTATGCTGTTTATAATTAGTTGGTTCTATATAACTTCTTGCTAATTAATCGATCGATTCCTGATTGTACATGGTATTTCGGATATTGTACAATAAATAAATATCATTTAACTTGTGAACTCTTATAGATGATTAGTTAGAATATAACTTGTAAAAGATTAATGACCGACTTTCGCAAAAGTTTTCTCTCGCTCTCACTAATTGGAGGCGTTTATAGATTTATTGTCTGAACTTTCATTAGTTAACCATTTAACTGAAAGTGGAATATCGATGACAAAAAAAAAGTGTATGATGAACTGAAAATTTTAGCTCGCAAAGATGCGATAATAATAAATATAGTAGGGTTTGTAATTTCTTCTTTTTCTCGTAATTTATTCTGTGCTAGTAAAAGTTCGATTTTGGGCTTTTCTCGTTGGGTTAATTCGGTTAAGAATTGAGATAATCTTTCTCAGTCGCTTACTATCTTCGGTCGGCTAAAATTTTGAGATGGGCAAAATTCCAGTCAACTGGCTCTATACTCGGATTGAATAAACAAAAATAATTGCTTCGGTGAACAAGAAAATGAAAACTGTTGCGAGAACTTTGGTATTATGCTGGACAGAATAATTCACGTGCAGCTTATTATCCAATGAGGATGAATCCGTCACGTAGGTCGATGTAATAATAATAAATAGGAGCAAGGGGAGTTTTGAAGGTGGTTATATATGGAAGTACGGAGTTTAGTAAGTATGATCTTTGTTATCATTGGTTTGTTGGTGATATCCACTAACAACATAATCTGGTACTGTATTGAACAGAGGACCGAGGCTTATGAATAGTATTAATATCAATCAGACCACAACGAAGCTACTGCTAACGGTGACAGTCTACTGCGACACGCAAACAACAAAGAGAACGCTACCAGTCCCTCAAACTCTTCCACGTCTACCAATGTCCCATTGGATCAGATATCCCGGCAAATCGACAAGTGAGAAAAAAAGGGGAGAAGAAAGAAAAGAAATAGAGATTTTAACAGTTTATACCATCCATAATTCAGGATATGATACCTGTTTTATAGCAATACTTCATGATGGTACACTACTTATTGCTGCTACCACAAATCTAAGCAGCCATATTCCCAGAGCGCTCATCTATTCATAGTAATGCTGCGCGTGGACTTTTTTGAAGAAAGATTTCTGGACGATTCGCTGCTATTACGAAACCTGTCTGTCAAAATTCTATAATTTACGTAACTGCGAGAACAAGGCGATCGGAGATGAAAAATAATACTCAATAGTAATTTCTTTTATGTCTCTCGAGCTTTCTCTACCAATGGCTCCTACAATTTCCGACTCTTTAACGGCGAACAGCGATGCATAACACTCGTATCAGAGATTGACTATCCCGAACACTGAAGTTTGAATATCACATAACTACATGGGAGACTGACCTAAAGGTCTGTATTGATAAGGTGGAAGGAGATTCGCTGGCATAGACATTCTGCTGGCGCACATTATATTAAAGTACACCAGATGTGGGAAAGATAATTACACGAACACACGAGGCCATGCCAACCAACCCTGCATAAACAAGTTTCACTGTACTCAGCTGTCAGATGTGGGTAAATAGACAAGCATCAAATGTATCTCTAACGAGTTAGGATTAGAGGGAATAGGATTGGAAGAAAAGAGTTGAGCTCTGTCGGCACAATCATGTGTAGCTTGGCAATAGAAGTCGAGTGAACGGACATTATCCAGCTTTAGCAGTGATTGGAGTAGCAGAGATGAACTCGGCATCTATAGAATATCACCTTCTAGCAATCGGGTTGAAGATCCTTCTTAAAAGGATATAGGGAAAATCATTGAATTTCCGTTTTGACTGGAGATGTAGAATGTTAGGTGATGCTGGAAATGAAATAGTTAGTCACCTTATATCTACCGGCTGTGCACTAAAGACAAAGATCATGTTAGCGTTTGTAGTCGACAGAAAGACTCTTCTGCTTGCTGATTAACGATGTGTGTTGTGACTTAATGCATATGCTTATTTACGTTTGTGATGTGTCAGTATAAGCTAATGCTAATAAATACAGTACAAGTCGAAAGTTTATTTAACCAGGTACTTGTATTAATAGTTATCGATCTGGTATTTCATACTAATCGATAGAAAATATGGTAGATAAAGACAGCATTAGTCATGTTCACCCGTGTGGCTATATAATGCTTCGGAATTTACGTGCCGATAAGGGTATTTCCTCGACGATTATTACAAGCACAAAACGATGTTTGGTAGTTTTGTTAGTTAAGGTGATATCGTTACAGCAAAACAAGTCTAAGAATGTTAATGCTTTAATATAATATTAGGAGTATTTGAAGAGCAGCGATGTTAGTTTTACTACTTTCTTGGTGACATCCACTACATACCAATATCATTAGATGCTGACTAAACCTTTCCGTTTTGTACCATGTAGAAATCAGAGAAAACAAGTCGTGAGATTGAAGATGAATAATTTATATCTATTTTGCGACTCCAATAATCTTTTTCTTGCGTTCCGCCTTGATACGATACTGTTCCCTCTTTTGAATGTGAAATTTTCCTCTTTTAGTTTTTGTGCGCTGAGCATAATTTGTTTCTTCTGTTGCATAGACTTGATCTCTTTGGGTATATGACGGTGTCTTTATAAGTAAAGGGCTGCATTGCGGGTTTTTCTGGGATGCCCATTTTTGTTTGGTTTGGTGCAATAGTTGCGCATTCATGCTATACGCAGCAATGGCAAGAAAATAAGCCGGATTAGCAATGGTCTGTACGATGCACGTGTTTAGAAATTCTTTATAAAAATACCTTGCAATACGGCAAATCTTTATATCGCGCTTTGAGTTGTTCAGAATATTCGGATAAGCCCGCACCCGATAACCTGACATTGTCGTCATCTGAGCCTGGTAACACCAATTTAGAATCGACGCAATATTTGACACAGAATATTCTCTGCATTCTCTCTCGACTATGTCCTTCACGTGATCTTAATATTCGACATATGCACCTGTTCACGATAATCAACATCGAGACTATGTTTACATAAGCGAGATTAGGATTGGAAATTACTGAAACATCCAAAAATACGAATGAGACGATCGAAATGAACGTACACAGCTAACACGTGATATTCTACGTTCATTTTTATGTGTAGCAGTTTTGGTCTTCATTAGCCTATTAAATGTCGTATCTTCGGACCATTGACCACATGAATTTTCCATATGATAAGGTGACATACCGTGGTAAAGTTGAATGCTTCTATCGGATTCCATGAAATGGCATCTATGAATTTATAGCTACATTAGACGAAAAATCGATTACAAAAGATGCGAATATACAGACATATGACTTACTTTTTAGTCAGTGGAGAACTAGTTCGCGGTCATATGGGATAATCGAACGATCGTTACCGCAACCTGCTTAGTATACTCTTCTCAGTCTGATTGAATCGCGTGTTTATTGTATCTGCGCCCCGTTTATAGGCTGAGATCTAGGCAGAATGAATAAGAGAAGAGGCGAAGATCGTACAATGCAATCGGTCAGTTTTATGGAACTAGTGATTAATACCCTGAATAGGATATACACGCATATCTCGTCCCAAATTTCTATTTGAGTATTTGAAGTGGCAAAAATAGGATCGGACCGATGACGATCTATTGCATTATATCTATTTTACTCGTAAATTGCGCTTGACGGTAATCAATTCTGCATTATGAGCCTTACCTGTACGCAAATTTCCCCAAGTATATTCGCAGGCTATAAGACAGGAAAGCACAGAAATCAATCGTACTTGATAACTCACCTATTACAAACTACGAATAAAAATCTTACCTTGCCTCAGTCGATACGTCACGGTTCCGCACTTTTACAGGCCGCATGACAGATAAACATTTCCTGCAAGACTACAACAAACTCCTTTGTATCCACTACTTTCTTGATTCGACTCACCCCCCACAGATATCAGTGAAGTAATTTTTCTTGGATTCTTTGCCATACAATAGACGCCATCGTTGTGACCATTAAGAGCACCAACACCCGCTCTAGCTTCACTGCATCTGTGCGCGCGGAGCTTCTTTTTTTTTTTATTCCATTCCGTGCAACTTTTCTTGCCAGCTGTTTCCAACTATGCACAATTAAGTCGTCCCATGTTATAGTCGTGCCTTTTCCTATATTCTATTTCATACCGTGGGCGCACGCGGGGATTTTCGTTTGTTAGATTGAATGTACTGGTCGTGCGGGCGGGAGCGGTGGTATTATTAGGAGAAGATTGGGCGGAGATGTTAGGGGTGACGTTGGACAGTTCGTCTTCGTCATCCCAATTGTCGGCGTCGCTTGAATCATCCTCGCTTCTAACAACTTCATTATCCTGATTTTCCTCTTTGACTTCATCATACATATTTGTATAAAAATCTAGTACTTTCTCTGCAGTTTCTTCTTCTGTTGTATTCAACTCCGTCGCATTATATTGGAATATTCTCAAAGCCGGAAAAGGTCGGGATAACTGAAGGATCATATGAATAACAACATAATCTCAACTCGCCGAACTGGGGGGACGGGTTCATAATGCCGAAATAGACGATGAACCTTGTCTGACAGACAATTTATGCCGGGAATAGAGAACGGGAAATCAAGGAGTTCGTGGCTTGTATTTTCGGAATCTGCTGTTGGATACTCGTCACCATCGGCCATCTCGTCTTCAATCTCAACTTCCTTTCGTTCTCAATCATGTCTTCATGGTCCATGGTTCTTCTTTTTCTCTTAGAAGAAATAAAGAAAAAGTGATACATATTGGAATGTCCAAAGAAATGTCCCAATATTATATCGTGGTATTTGTACGCTATTTTACATATTGCTTATAACAAGTTGCTTCCTTCTTGGGCGATGTATCCAACCAAATACGCTCTCATGCTCTTTTCCTAGTTCTTTTCAACACATTGTCCAACCACACCATATGATTTTCCCTCCTCAACCGCTTTGCATCCATGTTTTTTAGGGGCAAGAATTTATCTGTTACTAGACAATTAAGATCTTTTCTTTACGAGGAACCGAATCGTCGTTATCGTGTCTGTGACCGATGAAGTTGGATGAATAAATTCGTGAATACCCATCTTGTGTATTGGAAGCTTAATAGTTGCAATATTATTTATATGCACTCGGCACATATGTTTTCTCGCTTCACTGCCTTTATTGTATCGCTTACCTTTGCGTTATCCCTGTTCATATAATGAAATCTAGCCCGTCTCTCCAGTTTTCCTTCAACCAATCGAACGTAGTATCCACTAATTCCAGGTGCTTCTATGGACCAGCTACTCCTCTCTTCATGTGTTTTGGCTTTTTCGCAGTTTGTAAGGCTATTCGATGACATGATGAACGGGCAGTTGCATTTGTTCTGTAGTATGATCAGGATGTATATCTGTGAATAAAGTTGCTACGGAGTGAAAAGTGTTGTTCTTTGGCTTGGAGTATCCTATGAGAATAGACAGTATGCTGCTATGGCAGCATACGCGAATGGAGAGTATGTGCCGTGAATTTGTCATTAGGGTGGGTATGATGCTATTAGAAATTAGGGAAATTAGGAAAGACTTTTCTCGAATATTTTATAATTTGCCACGCGCACTAGTCAATATATCAGCAGCCAAATTATTGAGCGGTAAAAACCCCGTCATTATGTAAATCCCCTAAATATATTAGTGACGTGATTTGACAATTACACGAGGAAAGACTTTTCTCGATAATATGCCGCGGTATCCGCAATTGCACGGCAGATGAACTGTCCACATTACCATCAACAAAATCTGCTGCGTTTAATGCCTTGAAGCAGTACTTACGGAGTCTCCCAACCTCCGAAGTTTATAAGCGTAACGCCCTCCAAATAATTTCCACAAGGTTTTCAAGACGTGCGGATGTTTACAGTTCAGTTTTTAACATTTCGACACGTACTGCATATAAGATATGTTTGTTTAAGCGATGTGATTTACAGTATATACTTAATTTACATTATTATTATACACCATTACATTATGTCAGTTACAAAAAAATTGAGACTGTTAGAACTTTAAAAGATAAAGATAGCTATAATTAATTACCACCCGTTACGGTGTAGGGGTTTGTAACATTTAGCCTAATCGCTTGTTTTTTTTCAGCAAGCTGCTGCATAGTTTCGTCTATAGATTAGGCGGCGAGTTTGCTGAAGTGTTGGGTGGTTGTTCCATGAGAGCTTCCACTGAGAACGACGGTACGTTTGTTTTCGTAGGCCACGTACGAACGTTTGCGTACGGGACGAGCCAAATTTTTCTGGAAAAAAAAAAGGTAATGTAAATAAATACCAATGTGTACGTGCAGGCAAAACTCGTAGAAAGTAAAATATACATAATTACCGTGTTAAAACGAGGCACCTATTTATTGAAGAGAAGCGGATGATATAAAATTCATTGCTGCATAAACATTTGCCGCGACCACCATCACCACTCTAATTAATAATTACTACCACTTATCGTATTTACCACTCCTAAATACTAATAATAGCTGAAAGAGAACTTCCCTCTATAAAAAAGTGGCGGATATCGTCGATGGCGTCACGACCATCGCTGGCTAGATGTCGCGGTAATAAAAGTTTTTAATATTATAAAGGGAATGGGACATGGATGCTTTGCTGTTCAGACACGGAAGGAAAACCTGCAACTTATAAGTAGATGGATTTCCTATCCACCTCACATGAGTGTATATGTCTTAGCTGCTGTGCTCTGGATGCAGCTATCGTTGAGACTTGGCTCATGTAAAGATATGCAAACATTATTCCACAAGTGATTATTTTGCTTCAAGTCAATGATCGCGATCGATAAAGGCAATTTTCATTTCGATTCAGGTGAGACTTACCATTTAAAGACAGTTACTGCGCACACCATTTACAACTCACTTACTTGACACTAGATGGTGTCAGTCACAGACATTTATTACTATATTAAGAATTTACATGCGCGCGGTCGGAATAGTCGTGATCGATAAAGGTAAACAATTTGTGTTCAACACATGTGAGCAATTCATCGCGCGACCTTATTTACTATATTGGGCATATTATATACTAATTATGAAAATAATGTTTATCCCTTAAAAAGGTAAATCGAATTAATGTCAAACAAACACATAAAAGAAAAAAAATGTTATGATTTCATACAATATTGAAATAGGGAATTTATATACTTGACGCATTCACGATGACATAAAGTATCATGACGTGCCATTTAAAGCCATGTAATCCCCAGGTAAATGCAAGCGGCACAGACATTGTGAACAACGACTGACAATGCGCTAATTGTACCCTTACACCTACAGCAAAATTTAAGTTAGTAATTAGGGTTTGTAAAAGACTTAATAACAATCTGTTTCACATAGAGAGTAAACCGTACTTCAATAAATCCTTCTGCTATTTCCGCTATCCTCCAATCCCTATTAAAGATTTTCGTCATTTTTACCGAACAGACAACGCACTTTTTGAACTCAATTTAATAGAGAACTGTTTTTAACCTAAAGTGTATGTCAGAATGGTCTTCCATTTCCTTATCCGCACGGGTTCCCCACAAGCAAGAATCGATAATTATATGTCCGCAACAATAAAAGAGCGATATTTACATTATCCTCCAACGTGAGCACGCGTCACTGACATAGAGGTATCATTGTAATATTGAACACCAGCGATACATTTGTGTTGTATTGGTCATCAAGACTTTGGGATACACTTCTCAGACTAGCGGCTTTTGTAGATTTTATCTCAACCCGAAATATGAGCTGCTTCAATGATAAATCGTATTGTTGCTTTCCGTGAATTGGAAGGCGATCTAGGTTCACTGAAATAATTCGATTAAGTTATTTCCATAGAATCCCAAGCTCTGCCATTTGAAGAAGGAAAATCTTCAGGATAAGACATTCCATTAAGTAAACGTAAAAATCGGTTTGCGGTATCTAATAAACATGTATGTTAATAAGCAATATATCAAGATGTCTAGACGAATCAAGTGTTTGGCAACGTAATTAATGAAAGTATCGCCAAACACTGTCATGAGGACGGCATAAATTCTTTACCGTGTGTTCACCGTATTCTAAAGTAGATAGAAGGTATCAGTTAATAAGCCATTAGTTACAATTATCGCAACGGATGAGTATAAATAAACGTAGAATATTATATCCTCTCTACCATTAAAGGCTTTTGCAATTCTTGATTTCGTCCATTCACTATCATTATTAAATCACAGACAGTATCTTGAATTAAAGTTACTGACGGATAACGTGATTAATCAATGGCAGGAGAGACCTAAAGATTATTGCTGTTTTCAAAATGGTGCGATCATCTCACAAAAATAAAAAAAAATAAATTAATAATCAACCTATGCGGGCTGGGATTTTCGGATAACTTACATTGTACGCTGTCCAGCTTTACAGGCACCAAAGGCTCTTTTGCTTTAACAGAATTTTTCGCCGCGATCGATCATTTTGAGCCAGAAATTATTGCTGCATCGACATTAGTAAATCTGTTGATTCCTTAGGAGCTCTTGTCCTAAATAAACATGCCGTGTAAATATTTCCATATACTGACACACCCATTAGCCAACATTCCAGTTATCCAACTTGTAGTTACCTCTGCTTATCAACAAAATCAGTAATCGAAACTTCTTCCGGCAACACAGCCAAATATTCTAACAAGGGTCACGGCTAGATCTTGTCTCCCAAGCGCCATTGTCTCTGAATGAAGGTACGAAATAGCTCTGCACAATTCCATGCATTTGGTATGACATTTAGGAGAAAACAAATTTATTAAATGAGAATTTTCACAAAGATAAATTGCGTGGACTGATAGAAAGAATGGTGTGTTACCGTGGTTGATAATTTGTAGCGAATTAGGATTTCCTGGAGAAGTATTCTGCCAATTGACAGAGGCTTGGTGAAGATATTGTACAAAAGAGAACAGAACAACGATTGATCAACCTACCAGTCTCTAGAGATCTTGACCTGGATAGTGCCGAAGTATTGAGAGTTTGCAGCCTGATAAATATTGGAGTTATGAGCATTAGTTAGCAATCACCATCGCCGGTAACTCATAGCTAAGCTAAGTGAATGAGATAAATGTATACCCAAGTGAATATTCTACGTAGTCAACAGTATTGAAATCCATGTTTCCATGTTTTCGCGTTGAGACGAGCCACAATATGTAATAAATTGTTCATGTCATCCACGTGACCATATTCTTATTAAGATTCAATTCGCGTGACGCTATTCGCGACAATTCTGTTCGTTAACGGGATATTGTTACAGCAAATCAAGCCTGAAATGCTGACGCTTTGATCTAATAAATAGATGTCTTTGAGAAGCTGCGGAGATCGTTTAAACCGTGTGTGAATTGCAGGTAAGCATGAAAATCCTACACTTACGTCCGCAATTATATTACTATGCCGAGACGATTTCTCAATTAATTTGTACTAGAACAATGAATAGAAAAAATGAGGACGATTGAGGTGGTGATAATAGTGATGACGAAGCGCTATGTAGGAGGAAACGTAACGAGGACAACAAAAGGAACGTTTGAAGACTGTGACTTCGTCGACCGGCATCGGTCGCTAGGAGATATGGCGACAGTATGAATGAGAACTGAGAACTACGTGGCCTAGAATTGAGATGGGTAATGGAGAAAGTCTGAAGCAGATGTATCGGAAATAGGAAGTCAGACAATTTTCTGGCGCGCAATAGTTCGGGCTGTTTAGAAACTACATGATCAATGGTGGGTTTGGAAAATTCTAAAATGAGGTCACCAATGCTCAAAAATTCTCATATATACTCTAGTTACAATTTGTTGTGAAACCGATGACGCGACGGAAACAAATCATTTACTGCCTTTGTTACGTGTAAAAATTTTAATATAAAATTATATTCCCATTTTTTATAATATCTCATCACAACGATTTTTCACAATCCATTAAAGTTTATACAGTAATTTGAGGAAATTTATCCTCCTCTTCAATCATGAAATCTTAAACTTTATTACTATTACGAAACAAGTCAAAGGCCGCATCATTTTTAGTGCTTTTATAATTACTGGTAAGTATTGGGGATGGCAATTGGTATGGCACTTGTGTATCTCTTTTTCTTCACGTGCTGCCAAATATTATCTTGGATTTTGATTGCAAGTTGACGTGTTGTCATGGCTCAACTAATTGTCCGATCGAGCGGGATATACAGTAAATAGTCAACTTCGTTAATCTGAATCCCTCATTAAAGATTTTCTGGTCCCAATTCATTAATAAGAAAATTGCCTCAATTATCCGAAATTTATAAGAAATCACCGTACTCTGTAATCCAAATTTAGTCATGAGAAAT